AGTATGGTTTAACAGGATCCAGGAGAGTACAGTTTAACGGGATCCAAGCCCACACATCAAACAAAATGCAAGACTAGTTGCTAGAAGATCTCAGGCTCTTTCTCACAGGTTAAAGACTCCGAGCCCCTGACATTGGCTCTTAGCTTCAGAAAATGGCCCTCTGTGTGTCATGTGGCAACTAGGGCTCCATAGGAGAGTTTTCCCTAGATCTGGGGTGCAGCCTGGGTCGCAGTGTCTAAGACACAGGTCCCAGACAACCTCAGCCCAGCATCCCTAGAATAAACGGAGGCGGGTTTGCTCAAATTGCCCTCTCCACTTGGAAAGCCCATCCCCAATCCCAAATCACTGCTGTCAAAGTCTTATACATCCTTCAAGGTTCTGCTCCAATGCACCTCCTCATGAAGCCCTTCTACAGATGGTCTCCCTTCCTGTGTGCCTATGGGACCGCCTATCTGTGGTTCCATCCTGAGTTAAAGGCAACAGTATACATGCTATTCCCCTCAGTTGGCCAGTTGCTTCCACTGGGAAGTTCTAAAGTTGCTGTCAAGTTTTATCCTCCAAGTCTGTAGCCACATGAGACAGTGAGCTGTGTCCATCAAAATGGCTTGGATGACCACTCTGAACATGCACCTCAGTGGACACAGAGGGGCCAAGGGTTTGAGGAAAGCAGAAAGGGGAGACGACGGAGGGTGTGGGCCCCTGTACGACCCTCCTTAGCTCCTCCCAGCCCCGAGGGAGGCTCTCTGGAATTGTGTTTTCCCTCTCTGTTTTGGGTTGAGCCTGTGTTTAGTCCCTGGCGGGGATGGCATTATTTTCCTCAAGGTTTCAAGGGGGTTGGACAGCGTTTCATATTTCTCTGTTTGGCAAATAGTCAGTCCCCTGCCTCCCCTCCCAGGAATCAGGAATCCCAGAAATTAAAGCCGGAGGGACTCGGGTTTCTTTCTGAGGCAGGGCCGCTGCAGCAGATGCCAACTGGACCCAGGAAATAGCCAAGGGGTGGGGGGCACCAGGTCTTGAGTTTTCTGGTAGGCAAGGGAGGGTACAGCCATGGATAAAATGCCGTGGCACTGTAGAGGGCAGGTTTGGGCTCCCTGCCTGGAGCAGAATAATCTTTCTTTCAAAGCTGAGTTGGAGTGAGCAAGGACCAGCGGCAGCCATTCCACTCCATGCTGTGGGCACGTTTATCTCTGGGTAAAGGGGAGACAGAGCTTTCCATGCTGGAGAAGGGGATGGGAAGGAGCAAATCCCAGCAAAGGGAAGCAGGCCCAGCCCAGATGCCAGCAGAGAGGGAGCAGGAGCAGGAGGAGGGGATGGGAATGAGCCAGGCTTCAGCACAGAGGCTGGGAGATGGCAGGCGGGCGCTTGCACGCAGAGCAGAACTGACACCTGGATCTCAGCTTGCTTCCCCCGGAGAACACTTTAATGAGGCTCACAGCTGTAATATCACAGAACGAGCGTTAACAATGCTAATTACCTGAAGTTTAGCCCGAACATTCCTAACCCACCCACCTTGGGGACACACTGTTGTTCTGGCCCTGCTAAAAGCGCTGATGGTTCAAAACATGGGCTGAGGCTTATGACGCAGATGTGACAGCAGAACACCAAGGCAGGCCTGGGTGGGGGCAGGTAGGGTAGTGTGTGCTGCAGGCTGCAGGGATGTCCAGGAATGGACAGAGTGTAACCTCCTGGTCATGATACCAATGTCCCTCTGCTCTTCTTAAGAGTAACCCAAGGGAGAAGCCCCAGGTGGAGATCAGACTCCCTTGGCAAAAGCCGGGAATGGGCTACGTCCATTTGTGCATGGCAGAGGGTCATGGGACTGAGGTGACTTCCCATCATCACTCTGCACAACCTCAGAAGACACCCCTGTGCCCTTCCCACCATCTAGCCCCAAAGATGGTTTCAAACTGTTGCATGTTTTTTGAAGCAGCAGAATCACCAATAGAAGACGCAGATCAAATTGGAGCTGTGCTGGTCACTGGTTTCAGTTGAAAGCTGGGGCTCAAGGCTCTAGGACTTCCTTCCACCCCTGTCCCTCGAGACCTCTGGGCATCCCCAAATCACTCCCAGAATCCTAGGCCTCTGCAGAATCTTCTTGGAAAACCACTATTCTAGAACAACATAAACCTCTGGCCTCATCGTGTCTGGTATTAAACCACGCCATTCCAAGGCACTGCATAGAAACACACTTTACCAGACACCCCAGAGGGCCCCTGACTCAGGCCAACTCTGGGGGCTGGAAGACAGGCGTGAGCATCTGCTGTGTGTACACCTCAATCTAATGGCCCCTTCCCCAAAACTGCCAAGTCTAGGGCTGATTTTATAGAAACTCTAGAAACTCACGCCTGTATCTATAAAGTCGAATGTCACCCAGTCAGATAAGACAAGATCTAGAACTTCTGATTCCTCTCTCAGTAGCCTTTCTGCCAACCCAGGGAGGGGAAACCATATTATATCTCTATCGCAACCCCACCCCTCAGACTCCCACTACTGCCGGGTGTTGAGCCACTCATCAACATCTTATCCCATGGTCCCTTCCTCCTAGGCCTCACCACCTCGCTCTACCACCATTCCAAGCCTTTGCCTCTCCCCAGGGAAAAAGCAGAGGAAGGCCGTTCTGCCCTGTGTTTGCTTGAACGTAACTTGGATCCCTCCAGTTTTCCCCGCTGATAGTTTGGATGTGTGTTCCCACCAAATTCCGTATTGAAATGTGATCCCCAGTGTCGGAGGTGAGGCCTAGTGGGAGGTGTTTGGGTCATGGAGGGGGGATCCCTCATGAATGGCTTTGTGCCCTCCCAGCGGTAGGTAATGACTGAGTTCTTGTTCTGTTGGTTCACACTAGAACTGATTGTTAAAAAGAGCCTAGGACCTCCCTCTGTCTCACTCCTTCCCTCGCCATGTGGCACACCTGCTCCTCCTCAATTGAAAGCTTCCTGAGGTCCTCACAAGAAGCTGGTGTTGGTGCCATGCTCCTTGTATTGCCTGCAGAACCTTGAGCCTTTTCTTTACCAATTACCCAGCCTCAGGTATATCCTTTAGTAACGTAAAATAGACTAATACCCCCTCTCTCCTCCATCCCTCTGACTCGGCAATGTCAGTTTCTGGTCTGCGTTATAATAATTCACTTTCTCAGGCCCACCAGAACATGGCACATTTACTGCCTTCTCAAAAGCCCTCTCTCAGAAATTGGTGGGATAAAACTGTCTTCGTCTGTTTGGGCTCCTGTAGCAAAGTGCCATAGATTGGGTGGCTTACCAACAATAAGCCAAATTTATTTCTCACAATTCTGGAGACTGGAAAGTCCAAGATCAAGGTGCCAGCAGATTCGGTGTCCAACAAGGGCCTGCCTCCTGATGGATAACCACCTTCTCCAGCTTCACATGGTGAAGGGGTAAGGGGTCTGTCCTGGGCTTCCTTTATAAGGGCACTAATGCCATTCATGTGGACTCTGCCCCTCATGACATAATCACCTCCCAAAGTCCCTGCTTCTAATACCGTCACCCTGAGGGTGGAGATTTCAACATATGGATTTTGGGGGATAACATTCATACCATAGCAGACCAGGATGCAATGCTGGGTTCCCTGGGGTTAAAGCAGAAACGTGCACAGCTCTCCATGCAGATGAAAGGCCTGAATGATGTGGGTGTCTGTGTAATCTGCTGCTGCCTGGACTTTGTTACATGAGCCTGAGTCCCCCCGATTGCTGAAATTAGCAGTTCAGCACTGCAGGTCCAGCTGTCACTTGAAACTGCTTTGGGTGAAGGCCTGGCCTTTCCCCTCTGGTCCCTGAATGCAGACATCTCTCCCACTGCAGAGATCGCTCAACAACCTGCTCAATGGCCCATGTCTGCGGCAACCATCAATGGCTCCTCTGCTGAAATAACGGCCCCACATTATGCTTAGAAAAGCAAAGGCTGAAGGCACACGGATGACTCATTAAAGAACAGTGCAGCACTCACTTAGGGGAGGAATAAGAAGTGACACGGTGTCTTCCCACTGCCATGCCCACCTGTGTCTTACCAAAATTCACAGTAGATTCCAACTAAAACTATGTTGACTGATTGAGACCAGGGAGCTCTTGTTCTAGTTCCCTCGATTTCCCCCTTGACCCCATTCATCACATGTTGTATTATTAGCTGTCTGGTGCCTGCCTCCTTGGCAAGACTGTAAGCCTCATGAGAGGTGGAGCTTTGTCTTCTCTGCTGTAGCCCCACTACCTAGCATAGAGTAGAAGCCTTTATTTATCTATCTAAAATTTATTTTTGGAAGACTGACTCTTAACTTGCAGCCTCAGGAAACCAATTCCCGCATGGACCAGGAGTCCTATACCCAGAGGCTGTTCCTTGAAGGCCGTTGCTAAGCAGACTCTGGAGACTCTAGGGGAAGATATGTCCTCTGTGATGCCTCTTGCTCCTTGCCCAGGGCAGCCAACTCACTGCCTTTATGGAAGGCAGCTGAGAGGGAAGGAGCAATGACTCAGCTGGCTTCTAGACGGGTCCTGCACCAGAGGTCTCTCTCTCCCCCCAACAGTATTCCCCCACCTCTGCTGTGAGTCATCTCTGAGTCATCAACCTCCCTTGCCCCAGAAAATCTGGGGGGGTCCCTTCAGAATGCCCGAGGATCTTCTCTGAGGGGTCTCCAGAAAATGAGCTGCTCTACTCCTGCAGCTGAAGCTCTCAGTTAAGGCCTGAAGCTATGCTGCCCGCTATGCCCATGAAAGCTGTCACTGTGACTGTGGCTTCCCTGGTGCATTTATGACGTGGCCGGAAGCCCATCATCAGGCAGCAAGTGAGACCTGGAATTTGTTGCTCCAGGAGTCTCCTTGCAACCATGAAAACACTAGTGTTTCTCTGGAGCCTATGCACATGCATGTGTGTTTCTCTCTCTCTCACACAATGCAGTCCTACTGCACACCCCAACATGAAAGGCTCTACTCCCACAGGATCTCTACATTTGCAAGTGAAGTCCTAACTATTGGTAGGGAAAATAAGAGTTTCCAAGAGTTTTAAAGGCTTTTATTTGTTTACACATTCTCTAAATTGCAGACAAAAGATTCACTACGTGGGTAGTCAACATTGCTTACCAATCACAGAACAAGATACTAACCACAGCAAGGAAGGGGTAGGGGCTTGTGACTCAGTCTTTGAGAACGTGCAAGGGTTCCATGGGATATCGAGGGGTCCCAAAGACAAAGGCTGCTCGATCCCCACGTCATTCTTCATCCCATCAGCGACAGGTCTCCCTCCCAGAACCCTGTCAGGACAGGAGAAAAGGCAGCAAGAGAGGTGGGGCGGTCCTGGCACGTGGGCCACCAGTCTTCTGAATGAAGAGTGAGTCCCGGGTCTGCTTCCAATCTGTAGGTTCTCCTGGAGACTGTCACAATCTGGCAGCTCTCTGGGAAGTAACAGAACCAGCATGTCCCCTTAGGATGGCAGGAGATGTGGCACAGCCTCAATCTCCAACACTGAAACACAGAGAGCTTGATATGTCCCTTAGGGCAGAAACATCACAGCACTTCACATTAGGAGTCACGAAAGAGTGGGAACCTGACACACGTGGGAAGGGCACATCCCCAGAGGACAGAGGGCCAAGGCAGCACACACACCTACAGACAGAGACTGCAACCACATCACAGTAAGGAGGAGGACAGCTAACGGGGTGGGAGGTGGGAGCTTTTTGTTTGTCTGTTGCTGTCGTCGTTTTTAGAGAAACCAGGGTGGGCCAAATGGAGATACTGTCTCAAGACCATTACACACAACTTCCCAAATCTGTAGCCCTTTTCTGTAACCTCATGAAAGCTGTGTCAGACTCAGTCCTGGTCTGAAGTACCCAAGCAGTCCAAGGCAAAAACTCATCCACAAGAGGCAATGCGGTATTGGGTTTCAAGGATCAGTGGGGAGGGCCTTCAAAGGAGCAAAAAGGGAAACCCTCTTTCATAGGCATTTCTCTCGCTGGAGCCCAAGTCCCTTGGTCATTCTTTTATGACTAAGAGTCTCAGAAGGAGTTGTGGGTGTGGGGTAAAAAAGACAAGCAAGCATGTTGGAATGATGGGGATAACATGTTGCAGTGGCTTCCCTCTCTGGTGCCCACACCTGGAAGAAGTGATCCCAGGTTTGCGTCGTATCTGCAGGTCTAGAGACATCAATGGAGGCAGTAATTGGAGATCTCAGTGCATTTCCAGGGTCCCCTTTCCAAAGGCAGTCTAAAGCAATGGAGGGGCAGTACATTCCTAAGGCTGTGAGATGCCCAGGGTCTCTATTCACCAGCTGAGAAAGGGCAGTGAAGACTAAACACACCCCTTCTGCAAGTCCACACGCTCTCTGACTCAACCAGAGGGCATCCAAGGCCTGGTGGAGCCTGTGCAGGCCTGAGCTTCCTCGTGGAGCAGCGGGTAGGCAGCTCCTTCCCAGGGACCTCGTTGTCCTTCCTACCGCAGGAGCCACCTGTCAAAGCCCACCCGGAGGAATCCCAGTGTTCATAAATGGAGGTGCCCTCACCAAAGCCACTGGACCAGCCTGTCCGTGAGAAGAGACACAGAGGGATTTCAGCAACGAGAAGAAAACCAATTTCTTTCGGCTTCTTAGCAGAGATGTTCCATGTCTTGGCTATCAAAGAGAGAAACTGGGCTTAAAAATTGCCCTCACCTTGAACCCACTTGGCAAGGGGGAGCAGACCTGGTTGAGGTCTAGTTCTGGCTTTTGTGAATCGACCGTGTGACACAGACAGCACAGCATCAAGCCGGGAGGGCGCCTGATCAGACTGTGTTCTCAGACTGAGAGCGCACTCAAGGGCAGGCAGGAGATGGAGAATTCTCAGAGCTCAGCCGCTGGCTCTCGAGCTCCCAGGCTCATCCCTCAAGGAGCTGGGGGCCTGAGGGCTCAGGGTCCACCACTGGCTGCCTGGGGGCAGTGCTGCCAGTCTGGTGTGGAAAGGGTCCAAGTCAGAGGCCTTTGCCTCACCCCTTCCACCAGCAGGGCCATTCAGAGGAGCCTTGGCTCAAGAGAACCTTGCCCACAGGCTTTCAAGTAGGTGAGTGGACCAAACCCCTTCATGCTTTTCAGGCTCTCACGCACTTTAAAACCAGACTCACAGCCAAGCCTTGTGTCCCTGGCTACCTCCACAGAGATCACCAGAATTCCCCTCGCTGGGAGCCATGTGCCGTCTAGGGCCCCAGAGGAGCCTTCCCTCGGGCCAGCCCCACAGAGAAGCTACAGCTCTGAGCCGACATCCACACATGGACAGGTACATGCCTTCCCCCAAGCCCAGGCATTTTGCTTGAAAGCGAGCTTGGTGTGGCTTCTTCAGGGAATAACTCAAAGCTGAAATCTGGCTGTGACATGTGTGGAGAAAAGGAAAGATGAAACAAATGGTTTATTCCTAATGCTGTCAACACAAACAACTGACAGTCTAAGCCAGCATGAAGCTAGGATCTGACAAGTACCTGGCCAAAGGTGAGCATGGAAGGTTTGCTGAAAAGCTCTCTGATGCTGGGTTTCATCCCTGCACACACCAGCAGTGCCAGACACGGGCATGGGGCAGCTGACCTTGCTGGGGTCTGGTGGAGTGTCCCCAGTCTGTGCATGAAGCCTCCCCCACCCCAGTAGTCCCCATCTCTGCTTTCTCTAGCAGGGACAAGACCACTGTGGGGGTCATTTTCTGCCTCTGATCAGGCCCTACCAATTGCACCTCCCTGTCTTCCACCCCAAGAACCTGCAAGCAGCACTGGGGGCACTGGCTGCCCAACACACTCCAGCCCAGGTGCCTTCATCAGTTCACCAGTTTTAATGCTGAGGATGCTGCCATCCAAGGGCATCCAGTGCTTGGAAAAGCAGATTAAAGCAACTAGGCTGAGGTCATCTGTTTTCTTCCCCCGACCCCTCAACCTCCACAGGGTGGAAATCACTGGATGCCTCCACCTGCTTGTCTTCTACTGAGGAACACGCATCCTCAGCAGAGAAACCTACATATACATCTACCTTCCGTGGTGGCGCGATACTTGACCTATAGTCACGATTCCTTGGCAGAGCTTAATTTTATAGCTGAAAAGCAACTTGAAGGCTGGGCCAGGATGTGGCTTATTTTCCAGCCTCTACAGGACCTAGAGCATTGCCTTGCACATAGTCGATGCCCTGCCAAGGGTTTTAATTTAGCCAGTAACAGCCTGCCTTGCAATGATTCATGGCAGGCAAAAGATGGGTTCATCTTCCTTCAGAGGAAAAACCCCCAGAGTGGACAACCATGGCAGATGAGTGGGGGGCAGCTCGGATGGACTGTGTTCCCTTTCCCGGCCAGAGACCTCGACAAGTGCCCCCTAAGCATCTGACCATTCATCGCAAAAGCAGGACCCATCTGCTTTCCCAAATGCCATGTGGACCAGATGCACTGGTGAGCCAGGGACGCCCTGCCTACCTACCCCGCCTCTCTCCAGCCACCTGCTCCCCACCTCCTCTGCTCTGAGATAATCGTTCTATATTTTCATGCTCTCGCTCACATATCAGGCAGTGTTTCTGTCCTTTTTTTTTTTTTTTTTCCTAGTACCTAATTTAGGCCTCTTCAACTACATGTTGAAAATGTGCACGGGGTATATTTTCTTTTTCCTTTACACCACTGTTGCTTCCCACTTCCCACCTCCACCCCACTCCTTAGCATCTAGCATGGCAGAGGGAAGGGAGGAAACAGTGCAGGGAAGGGAGAGGGCAGGATGAGAATCGAGGTCTCAGTGGGGAGTAGACATGGAAGGGCAAACCAAGTCCATAAAAACCACAACCCCCATTCTAGCCATAAAAGCTCTGCATCCCTTTGATAGCAGAATTGAGACTTTTCAAGCCCCCAACTATTACCAAATGTCTCTCCTGAAAAGAAGCACAGGTGAACGAAGGGAAGAGAAGGAAAGCGGTCATGGAGCCAGTGGCTTTCCAAGCACAAGGCTCCCTTTGCAACCCCTGTGGCTGTGCAGGAGCTGAGAGCCAGAGGAGCGGGACTGGAGAAGATTTCAGAAAGACGCACCTTGCCTGGCAGCCCCTGGCTCTCCCTCTTGTCCTGGAGCAACATCAAAGTTTCCCTTTAGTTCATTAAGCAGAGTGTGTGTGTGTGCATGTGTGTGTGCCCACACGCACGCATGGGCATTCCTGTTCTCATCATCAATATTCATAACATTGAAATGAATAACAGAGATACAGAGAGGCAAGCAAATGAGCAAATGGGATGCAGTGAGTGAAAATATAACCTGGGCGTCTGTAGGGTTGTATTGCTGAGGGGATATACAGGCCCCAGGGGCTCGCGGGCCTCTCCCATTTCCTACAAGGTCCACTTACCTGCCCTCCCGTCCCCACCACGGCCGTGTTTATTTGCTAGACAGGGTTGGTGCCAGCCTCCAGGGCCATTTCGCTTGCTGCCTGGGCTAGAGGTCATGATGAGTAATTATATCTCTGTCCAAGAGGGTTCTGGCTGCCTGCCAGTCCTGGTTCCTGCCTTCCTCTGGCCTGCCCTGGGAAATGTCGCCATCAGCAAAATACTCCCTTCTCCTGGTGGAGCCAAAGAGGGGGAAACTGTGAAAGGTCCCTCTCTCAAGGCCACCTGCCCTGCGACCTGAAGCTGGCACTGGAGCAGAGAAAGGGAAGGAGTGGGGACAGAAGCTGGAGTCACCTCAGGACCCCCTTACAGGCAGGGCTCACTCAGAGCTCAGAGAGCCTGTTCCAGGAACCCACTCACTTCCAAGTCTTTCCCCTCATGCAGGGAGTTCCCTGCTCCTTCTGGAAAACCCCCTGGTAGGGAACTGGCAAGCCCGGACCCCTCCTCTTCAGAGTTTCCTGACAGCACTTCCTTTGGGCCTCTCTTCAAGCTGCCTGGGCTGCTCACACAGAGGGGGCGCCCGCCGCACAGCCAGGCCTCCCCGGGGACAGCTGCTGAGAGGCTCCAAGGCAGCTCCCACTCACTCTGCCTGGGAGGCTGTCCGTCCTCCCACATCCCGGGTGCCCAGCAGGCAGCACCCACATCTTCCTCTCCCCTCCTTTCCCCTGCCCCCCTCTCAGCTGTCCACTCACAGACCAGAGGGTCTCCAGCCTCCCTAGAAAGGCGTTCCCAGCTCTCCAAGACCCTCCACCAGCTGCCCAAAGGCACTGAACTAACCCCTCTGTCCTGTTGTTCCACACTCAGGGCTGGTGGCTGTGGCCTCTGGCAGAGAATCATAAGCAGACTCCCAAACCTTAGGAATGCTCAGAAATGGGGGCGGGAGCCCCAACCCCCAGACAGCTATGGAGCCCACCTTCTGGCCACGGACCAGTTAGACTCTACAGCAAGCTGGGCCTCAGGTAGGGAGACTCGTAGGCCTGAGGCAAATTAAAACATCTGTTCCCCACCACCACTATCCTTCCCTTTCACCTAGAATCCAAAAGCATGCTTTGGGCATGGGAGTAAGATTGCAAAAAAGGTAACACACAGCGGGGAGAGGAGGAGCTCTGTCCACTTTGCAGGGGGCAGAGGAGCAGGACTGGCCAGGCCTCCGCTTCCCTTCCCAGCTACTGGTGTCCTGGGCTTGGGGGACAGGGGCCTGGAGGCCTGACCCCTCTGGTAGCAGTGCCTGGAAATGCTTCACTCCCCAAGGCTGCAGGCATGATCCAGCCCTCCCTCACTGCCTTCTCTCTCCAGCTGGGTGAGGGGCCTGCTTTGCCCTCAGAAGCATCCCTGAAACCCCACACAACCAACAAGGGGCCTCAAAAAAGAGGGAGCTGAATTAGAGTTCAGAACTGGGCAGAGGTTTGGCCTTTTTAAAAAATAATAATAATAGTAATCTGCTGCCCAGGATCACAAGCCTCAGGAGAAAAAAAAAAAAAAAACAGAGTTTCAATCACTGTTCACTCCCACCTGCTGCCCTCCAGCTCCCTAGCTCCAGGATTTCTGCCTGAGGACATCCAGCTCTCTGCCTTGTTCCACCAGAGATCCTTGCCCCTCCCAAATGCCCTCCCACTCTCCCTTCCCGAGGCACCCCTGTCTCTCTTCCTCCCTAGGAATGGGAGCCTGCTAAAAGGGACACCAAGTCACCACTGCTACAAGGAGCCAGGCCTGGGACATGCGGCATCTTCCATGGGAGTGTGAGCGTGGCTCTGGCCAGGGCCAACTTCTCCATTGGGACCCCCTGAAGAGGGGCCAGGAGGGGCAGCCAGGGAGTGAGAAAAGAAGGGCCTGCTCCTGTCCCAGCACTTCCATAACAGGCTAAAAACCAGCCTGGGGGCCAGGGATGTGGTCCTCAGGGCCCGCCCTGGGCCATGGGGCAGCACAACGCCCCCCCACCTCCTCACACACAGACCCAAAGAGGAGACTATAAGTCCCTCTTTTTGAGCCCTGAGGCCTGAGGTTGCCAGCAACCTTTCTTCAGCGGCACAAAAGAGCGCAGGTCTCCTCCACTTGCTCCCAAAGGAAAAGTAATAACAATCATCTCATTTTTCTTCCTTAAAACATCAAAACTTTTAAGCGGAGTGTTGAAAGGAAGCGGGCTGTATTCAAAGCACGAAGACAAAAATGCACCATGAGTGTGTAACCCTCCAGGGTATCATGAAACCATCACTGTGAAACCCAAACCCTCCCCCAACTTCAAAACCTGTTATCTTCCCCAGCTCTGGAGGAATCTGGCCTCCTTCCCTCCCTTCCACCCACCCACGAGCTCTTCCCTGGTTCCAGTTGGCTGGGCTCAGCCTGCCTGGGCTTCCTACCTTGCCCTGGGGCAAGGACAGGAGCAGGGGAGCTTTGGGACCTGCTGGCTCCTGCTTCAGGGGCAATGAGTCAGTGAGGGGTTCTGAAGGAAAGCCAGAATGTCAATCTCCTAGCAGGAGCCCTGTTTCTATTTCCACATAATGTTGCCTGTGCTGGATTTGCTACAGGTCCCAAAAGCAGGGTTTCAAAAATGCCTGCAGGGAACAGGATTTCCACTTCCGGGTTGAATCCGGCGCCTCACCTCTCTGGTTTGCTGGAGCCACAATACAGAGGTCTCCCAGTAAAGTCCAGCAAAGGTCTCCTGGCTGTTCCCAGCATTTGAGCCGGGAGACAACCCCATCATTGTCCCCATTTGGTGACCTCTGCAGAAAATGACAGTAGCTACCATGGAGTAGGGACTATCATCGTGCCAGACCCGTGCCAGGATCTTTACCAACGTCACCTCGAATAACTGCAAAGACCATGCTGGATAGGCCATGTTTCCCCACCTTACAGACGTGTGAAATGAGGCTCAGAGAGGTGAAGTCATTGGCTCAAGGTCAGTCAGCTAGAAAGTGGCAGTGTTGGTCAGAAAGTGAGCATTACCCATGAACTGAAACGAATCATAGCCCTCTCTAAAAGTCACCTTTCCATTCTCAACTGCATTCATCTTATAGAAGGGAGTATCCTGAGCACCTTCATTTTAAAGTCCCCAACCCCATGTACATCCCTCACCTCCACCCCACAGCCCATGCAAGTCATGATTTCCTTGGTCACAGCTTTTGCCAGGACCCTGACCATGGGCAGCCCGGCCCTGGCAATATAAACTCCCTTTGGTCACAAGGGAGATATGAAGAAGACATCTAACATTGGCTAATGCACACAAGAAGGTGGACATGGAAAATATCTGGCGTTCTTCCCAGACAAGGATGGCTCTGCAGTGCTTGTTTATGTAGCAAAACTCTCAATCTCGCTCTGGAATAGTCAGGGCAAGTGTTACTATCTCCATTTTCCAGGTGGGCAAATTGAGGTTCAGGGAGGTTAGGTGACTTGCCCAGTGTCACATAGCTACTCCATGGCAGAGGCAACACAAAAACTCTGATCCTTCACAGGCATCTTGTGATTCTAGCTCAGAGAATGATTCTAGCTCATTCTCTGGGGTTCAAAAAAAAAAAAAAAAGAAAGAAACCAATTTAACGTTTAACAACCCTGTCCTCTTTTCAACACAGAGGTGATAAATGTGACCATGGAGACTTTTGTCTGCTTGCAGTACCCTGACAGTGCCAGCCCACAAGTTGGCTTGCTATCCCTGCTTTCCAGATGGGGAAACTGAGGCCTCCAAAGATGAAGAATGGGTTGGCCCCATTCTGCAGGGAGTAATGAAGCAGAGAGGGAAATTCCAGGGCCATCCTAATGTCACTACAGACCCCTGACCCTCACCACTGCAGGCAAGTTCCAGTGCCCTGCCTTGGCCTGGGAGACCCAGCTCAGGCTCAGCTTGTGTGGGCAAAGCAGACGTGGGGCTGAGAGAGAACAGGGGTGCCCTATCGCCTGCACTTCTGTGGAAAACAAATTTACACATACTCCGAAGAGGACGTGTCAAGTTGTAGAGCCATAATTTGGGGTTTCAGACTTGCTTTTTAAGTTTTTAAGCTATTGTGGCATTTAGGAACATTTGGGGAATTTTTTTTCTCTAAATTTAAATTTAAATGACTCTCAAAACCAATTATTAGCCTTTGGAGACAGCCTGCTTTGAGTTTTGTGGGAAGAGAGAGAGCTGGAGTAGTCAGGAGAGAAAATGTGCCCCTCTGATGGAATGTCACCCTCCCTATCCCTCCCTGGGCCTTCAGGATTCAGACGAGCTCACCGACCAGCAGGCGGAAGGAAATTACTTATGAGGAAGATGAAAATTCCATTCGGACAGGGGCCCTTTAAATGAGACCATTATGTATGTGTGTGAGTCACTCTGAGGCCACAGGCCCCTGCAGGAGAGTGACCCCCATCGCTTGCCACAGGTCACTCTGCAGAAGCGTGGGGGAGACCCACACTGCTTGGTTTCATGCCAGGCTGCCCTGGGTCCACTGGCCAAGAGCAATTAGCCTGGAGAGGAGCACTCCTGCTGAGGGACAGCACAAATACTGCAGCCGGGCAGAAGTGGCCCAACTAGCCCGAGTCTCCGGGAGCTTCCTCAGGAGCTTAAGAACTAAAAATAACCTGGGCCTTTGTTGTGAGCAGCCGGACCACAGAGATGGAGCTGATTTCAGAGAAGCCAAGCATGCGCGAGGGTTCCGCTCACCGAGACCTGCCCTTCGGGCAAATGATTTTTCCAGAAATATGTCAGTTATTGTGCTGCTGCTGTGATTCAAAGTCAGCCCAATCCGCTCCAGCCCTCGGGGCTATCTTCCAACACACAGAGTTCTCGGAAGCTCGGCCTCCCCACCTCTTTCTTCTAGACACTTTTTTTTTTGAAAACAAGAGTCCTGCACGTTTGGGGAGCTTAGGAGACAAGAGCAACCCCCGCACTGAGAGTTCTAAAATGTGGCCACCCTGGTCGTGAATGATGACCACCTCACCCTAATTATTTGTTTAGATAACAATCTTCTCCTTCCCCCATTTTAAAATTCCCAGTCAGGTCTCAGTAGACAATAGCGAACATACACTACGTGGAAGGAAGAAATTACTTAGGAAAAGGAATTCAGAGCGTGGCATCAATACTGAAGGTTTCTCAAAGCTGCAGCCCCCTGTATCCAGCATTCAGACACATGATTGAGCAGCCTTCACTCCCCTTCCTGGTTCTTGAGTCCCACCAGGGGAAGCTGAACCAGTTCTCCAGACCCAGGTGGGCTGAGAGGCAGAGGCTTGACCGTCTTCCTCTGTCCATAGGCTGTGGCTGGTCTCACCTAAAGGATGTCCCAGCTCTAAGGTCAAGGACCCAGCCTGGCCGCTTGCAAAGTCTCTCCCGATGGATAACAAGTACTGACTGGCTATCACGGGGCCTTGGCACCATTTCCGCAATGCTTCCTCCCATGTCTCAGCGCCTCTCCCTCCCTCCCCGCCCCCATCTAGTAACTAGACGCAGTGGATCAAGACCAGGCTGGCTGTGGATGCCACTGCTGAGGTTCTAGAAGGCAACTCTTTGTCTCCACAGACACCAAGGAACAAGAAGGGGTTGCAAGACCCCAAGTCTAGAAGTTTCCAGTGAGGCTTGCCATAAACAACAACTTCTCCACAGCCCTTTATTCCTCCGGTGAGAATTTCAGGATGAGCCTAAGCTGGAGGGGGCGGGGGCTGTGCGAAGATTTCTTGGAACACAATAGATAAAAAACACCACACTACACACAAGTGATGGATGAGTGGTCAGGAAATGGCTTCCCTTAAAATGGGAACCAATGAGAGGGCCTCGGTGCTAGGGCAAAAGTGAAAGGGGTTCCACAGGGCTAGGGCCGGCGGTGTTCTTCCGAAGTGCAACTTCCTTCCGGTAGAAACAAGGAGGTGCTGGCTGAAGTTCCGCACATATCGAGGGTGGTCAGGAGATGCCTCGCCCTCTTGGTTCCATGTGTCCGTGCCCCTCTGGGACTATTTCTTTTCCTTACAGTTGGTCTGTCTGGATATGTAGGAAGAGGGCGCGTTCTGGTTTGAGCTGGGCTCTGCTTTAGCCTCTCCAGCAGCAAGTCACATTCTGTGACCTAGGGCCCTAGGCCTGGCAGCCGAAGGCTGAGGCTTTCTCTTTGAGCAGTTCCCAGCATAAGTGGCAGCTCCAGCTTCCTGCAAGAAATGAGATGGCTTTAGTAGCAGCCCCTCTGCTAACTCTGGAGCCCCACCCCAGTGCCCCTAACTTCTTGTAAACCCTGTTTCCTTTGAACTTTGGCAATGCAGAAACCAAGTCCCAGGCCTGAAAACGTGCCGGAGTCTGTGGCTCAGCAGAAAGCAGGTGCTCAGAGGAGATGGGCTCAACTCTTATCAAGACCCTCACTCCCTGGTCATGCCTCCAAACTAGTGTCGCCAGGCCTGGGCTAGTTCCCCTGGAAGCTCACACCTCCCCAGCATCTCCATTGCATGTCTGGGAAAAACCTCCTCGGCCCTCAAGTTGAAATTTCAGCTGCTTGGACTGTGCCTCAGTTTCCTCATCTGTAAAATGGCAGTTGTCGTACCTACCTTGTGGGGTTGTGACGATTAAATGAGACAAGACATGGACATGTAAAGCCCTTAGCACAGGCCTGTACTATGGTGAGAGCTCAGTAAGTGCTAGCATTGGTAGTATCTGCTGCTGTTGTTACTGTTGACCTCATCATCATTACCTTCTGGGGGCTCAGCCACCGGGGGATTTAAACAGTACATGTGATAGCCACGGTCACAGTCATCGCAGAAGAGTAGCTGGTCCTGGTGGAACACAGAGCAAGCACAGAGGAGGAGAGATTCCGTTATTTGGGGCCAATGTCTGGCCCCTACTTACCCAGCAGCCTTATTTCCACATCGGCCTCACTGGATCCCCTTTCCAGGTCCCACATGGAGTCCTCACTGTCCCCTGAACATGCCTGTGCTTTTCCCACACCTAGAGTTTCCCCCTCTACCTCCCAGCCTATATAAATCCTACACCTATTTTAGGGTTCTGCTCAACTCATACCTCCTCCAAGAAGCCTTCTGTGACTACCACCTCACATCCAAATTTAAAAGGATTCCTTATTCTTCTGAACTTCCAGAGCCAATAGCTCTGCTTCCAAAGGGCAGAAAATGTCTCTATTGTCCATGACTTTATATATTTGAAGATCTTAATTGAATTCTTCTGGATTCCACTCCCTCCATCTGTGAAATGGGCAACAGCTGTACTGGGATGAACCTCAGAACCTCTTCAGGGTTTCATTAGAATGTAGAAAAATGCAAGTAGCGCCATCCCTTGGCTTCCAGAAGCTTCCTCACTGTCTGGAGGCTGGAGCCCAGGTGAGAACAGGCCCCCCAGGATTGTGGTTAACTTCAAAGGACACAGGTCATATCTTTGCACCTATGGCTACTTCTGCCTAGAGGCTCTCCCAGACCCCTGACCCTTTCTCTGCATGTCCATTCCCTGCCTGCCCTTCAAGTACATCTTCTTCAAGCACTTCTTTTCCACAAAGACTTTGCTAATCTACCTCAACTGGAAGTTCTCTCTTCCCTCCTGCAGAGCCCCGTGGTACTTTCCCTTCTTGTGACATTTAAATGCATTTTCCTTTATGTTACATGCCTGGCATGTGGTAGACATCTAATCACGCTTGTTTTCTTGGTCGGGCACTGTGGCTCATGCCTGTAATCCCAGCACTTAGGGAGGCCAAGGTGGGTGGTTCACTTGAGGTCAGAAGTTCAAGACCAGCCTGGCCAACATGGTGAAACCCCATCTCTACTAAAAATACAAAAATCAGCTGGGCATGGTGGCGTGCATCTGTAATCCCAGCTACTCAGGAGGCTGAGGCAGGAGAATCTCTTGAACCCGGGAGGTAGAAGTTGCAGTGAGCCAAGACTGCACCACTGCACTCCAGCCTAGGCAACTGAGTGAGACTCTGTCTCAAAAAAAAAAAAAAAAAAATACATCTACATGTTTGTTTTCTTGAATAATTAATTTGGAACATGCCTCTTTTTTCCACCCTTTATCCTCTTTATGGACTATAAGGCCCTTGGGGGAAAATCTTGTTTTCTTCATCACTGCATCCACTGTAGTGACTTCCTTGCATACAGGAGCTACTCAGAAACTGTTTGTGATCTGGCCCCACCCCCTAGTTTCCGCCCTGTTCTATTTGGTGATTTTTGAAACTGTTTGGATGGCTTATAAGACTTTTTCAACATAAAGTTTTTAATCAAATCTCACCTTGGCTCCCACCAGTGCAGAAATCCTGGATAAAATTAGATATAGCAGTTGGAATCCCCAGGGAGCCAGCAAGGAGGGCTTTTTTTGTCATGCTAAAATCCATCAGTGGGGCAACAGGAGAGCTTTTGAAGAGTTATCAACAGGGCAATGATATGATCAGATTGCAGTTTAGAAAGATCTTACTAGCTGCTATGTAAGAGTAGATACCCAGTGGGAGAGAGGTTCATTCAAGAGGCCAGGGGACCAGTTAGGAAGCTGCTATAGCTATCCAGATGCATGATGATTGTGGCCTGAATTACGACTGTGGCATGGAGAAAGAAATAGGTCTTGCTCCCATTTAAGCATCATTGATTAGATGGGGAGAGTGATAGGGAAGAAGCCAAGGATGCCCTCTGGGTTGTGGCTTGGTCAGCAAGCCTGATGATACAGTCACCCATTGGGACATGGGAGGAAGAGCAGACTCATGGGAGGGAGAGGGCACCTCAGCTATAGACATGTTCTGCAGATAGGGATGACCTGGAGGCTGTTGAAGAGAGCAGGAGAGAAGTCTGGGTGTGAGATATGGATTTGGGAGTCATTGTAACTAGATGGCAAATGAAGGTCCTACGAGAGGAAGCCTGGAATGTGTGAAAGCAAATGTCTTTGAACTTGTCTTCATGGAGAAGTGTCCATGAACCCCTTGAAATGATACATACAATTTTGTACATAGGTAGAAAGTACATGTTTCTATGGAAAGAGTAAATTCATAGCTTTCATTGAATTATCTGAAAGATCAAGGACCCAAAAGAGTTTAAGATCAAGGACCCAAAAGAATTTACTGAGAAGAAGGTCAAGAATAGACACTTGGGGTACTCCAACTTTACAGGGTAGACAGAGAAAAAAAGACTGAGAAGGAACAGTCAGAGAGGTAGGATGAAGACGAGCACACTGTAGTTTACGCCAAAAAAGTTACATCATTATTGTAGAACCAGAATAAGCTACAGGACAATTTGATTTAGGGATAATAGGATAATACAAGGAGAAACAAGTTAGGATGGGGACAGAAAACAGACAGGACTTGTCAGAAACAGTGTTATTAATGCCTTAAAAACAGCAATAACCCCTACTATAGCAGTTACATAGGAAATACAAATAGGTAGAATATCCTGGATTACAATTTCCCAAAGGAAAACTGGGCACCTGAGAGTTTAAGTGCATTTTGCATGGGTTGACCATTGTCTAGCACCATATTCTCTTCTCTTCCACCACCAAGAACCCCCAGTTCATGCTAACTCTCACGACAAACACAATTTTAGTACCTCTCACTTCCAACTATCCAGGAACCAATTGGTGGCATAACCACACAGAGAGAAACTATTCCAAATGACTATAAAACAATTAATCTGACAATACATCCTTAGTAGGACATAACTTAAGGTCATAAATAAATGCAAATATGCATATATATGGGTGTGTGTGTAATGTTCAGCAATTATATTA